CTGGAGCCCTAAGGACTCAAGGCATCAGACGGCAAGGACCACGTATAGACCTTCATTGTCTAATTCCTAGTGTGGATATTGCCTGCTCTGTGCCAAATGTTGCCATGCACCTTATATCCTCCAGCTTATGATAGCGCCCACGACGCAGAGGAGTGTGGAATCCGTGGAGTGACTGTTGCAAGAAGTGGCATATCAAAGCCGATTCATTCACAGCCTAGTCAAAGCGCAACAATAAAGACGCATCGAGACTTAGTACTACCGAGCCCTGAGACGGAAGCTATCGTCAGTCAAACTCATCTTGTCCGGAAGCATTTGGAAAAGCAACAAGCTTGGCAGCCTATGACATAAAATGATCGGCCAGTCTTCGAGATAAAGGATTGGCTTAGCTCTCGTGCAGGTTCCCTGCCATAGAGGCCCGGTCATTGGGAATGACGCCAAAGGCAAACAGATATCGAGTTGGCTAACCTAGGACGTCCAGACAGCTCCGTTTTGCAGAACGGATGTTGTCAAGTTCCGACTCCCATGGTTAGTCAAAGAAGTACTGTCCATAACCACTGAGTATATGAGTGGAAGCAAGTGCAGCCTGAGCTCTCTCTACCTTGTGGGTCTTTCTGTCCTTGACAGCCTGCCAGGAGCATATACATGCAACCTGGTAGCCAGACTGGGCCTAGTCACCTGGTATCGGAGACCATTACAGCAGCACACCATACCCTCCCGGTGAATCCTGTGGACAGCCCTCTTGATGCTTGTTTCTTGCCGTCAATCTTTCACTCGCCCGTCTTGTCGTTTTGCAGGGGAACACAGCTTTCGTTTGCTGATTGACCAAACCGGGCAGGAAATGTCTTTCTGACGGTTTTCTCTTGCCCGGCCAACACTCGCTTCTTCCACATTCTCTTCCGCTCCGCCTACTTTCGTTTCTCAGGCATCTTCTGCTTCATCTTGCAGCTTCCGGCTTCTCTGTACTTGTTGAAGAGCGCGCTCGTCTAGCCCTTTTGTCTGCTTGCTTGCTTTGAGACCAAGATCATCTAGCATCTAGTCTTCTCTTCTCATTTCTCGCGCTGTGTTCTGTTTTCTTGAGATTCTAACACACTAATTCCCTCACTGCACTTGCTGTGTTCTATACAACACGCTGAAGGTCGCGTCCATCCTCTGCTGTTCTTGTCTCCATCTGTCATCTACAAACACATCTTGTCTACATCTTCTTTTAAGAAACAACACCGTCATAGTTGCTTCTTACTTCTGTCCCTCTTATTCTCATCTTCAAGCCAGCAGAGGTACTCTCACTGAGACCCCCAGCTGTCTTCTGCACAGACACAGAGTTACGTGTTCTGAGACTACATCGATCTCTTCTACTTCTCTTTTTAAGAGGAACATCAGCATACCTGCTCTTCTCTCCTCTCATCCGCGTGTTCAGAACAGTCGGGATACTCTTGTCTAGGCATTCAGCTTCCTCTTTTACAGACACAGATTTACGTGTTTCATACTACACACTTCTCTGCATCTCTTTTCAAGAACACCAACATAATACTTGCTTGTTGCTTCTCCCCCTGTCGTTTTGACTCCGAAGAACAGTTGAGATACTCTTGTTGAGGTCTTCATTCTCTCTCCTACAGACACAGAGTTACGTGTTGTGAAACTTCATTTCTCTCATACCGTCACAGTGCTTAAGAGTTTCCTTTTACAGACACAGTAAAGTGTTTTGAACTACATATTTCCTCACGTCTCATTCTTGAGCTCAATCTTCATCTGAGTCTGATACACTTATCATCTCATATCTCAACCACGTCTTCCAACACGAAGAACGTTTCTTTCAGATCTCCCCTTGAGGAAGTTATCTCTCCTGCTGAGAACACCAGGGCCACGGGCCGTGAGGATGGTCGTCGGGATATTAGAGGTAAGCTATATCTCCTATTATGATGTTGTTGAAAGTTGAATGCAGTGTCTCCTGTGGGAAGCATCTTACGATGGGACATGGCGTCGGTAATTGTGAGCCTGGTATATTCGTGCCTGAGCTTATGATTCTACGCATCAATGACCGAGCTGTCCTAGCACAAAGGTGTTTCACATTCTTACTGCTCTGTGCTAATTACTTTCTAGGAGCCACACGGAGTGGTTACCCATACACCCGGGATATCAACCCGGCTCAGACGATCGCTTATCCATCGCCGTATAACCCTAGTAGGTACATGCTGTCGGATCATGCAACACTCATGCTAACCCACAAAAAGATGATTCCACTTTCTGGCGGGACGCAGGAGTAAACAAATATACCGCCTTGCATTCCCACCCAGTCCACCCACTTCATATCCCCAGCGGATACACTCAGAACGTTAGCGCAGGAGTCGAGTCGTATTCGCCACAAGGGACGCGTGCAAGGTATGAGCCGCGTAGTGCTATCCCCACTGCTGTAGACAGGCGCCAGGCATTAGCCGAAGAACTTGCTGGAGGTGCTCAGGTAGCAGAGGTGTCTTGCATGCCTCACTACCAACCTCTAATCGAAAGAGCTCGCAATGCACCAGGCTGGGATGACGACCAGCGCGAAAACCGCACTCCTCTCACGCAGCGAGTAACTCGTCTGCCATATGGCCCAACTCTGAAAATCGCATCAGCGGCCGACGAGATCATTATGGGAACAGGCAAAAGTAACCCGAACTATGCCGTTACCCAATTGTCTTACCCCGCGAATCTTCGGTATGTTGACAGGCCAGTGTCAACGGAGCAAACAAGCAGCGAAGACAACGAATACTCTTCAGACTCCTCGCCAACCACCCTCCTCCCAATCACCAAAGATGTCGACCGACCCCCCATCCCCCCCAGAAATGCCACAAGAAGCGGGGTTGGGGGCCAGACACGACACAACAAACCAAAGCCAGCGCCCGAAAACCAGACAGAGCTCTTTTCCGAAGATGCATGTGCGGGCGATGAGCCGCCACTCACGCCACGCCAACAATACATCGAGAGGCCGTCTTCTTCCAGCGCTGGTACACGCAACCAAACGACCACACTAGTGAGAGCAGGAGACTTGACCATCACTTTGTCAGAGCCTGTCAGCCCTTTCCGTGCCTCTATATCTCGCAATACCTCAATGCCAGAGGTCACGGAGTGCGCCACAGCTCACGATAGGTTTCCACCACGATCAGTCTCTCTCCAGCCACTGCGAGGTCTCCCAGCCGAAATCGATAGCCACGGACCTCATACTACCTTCGATGAGATCATCCCGCCCGTCTCAAATGCAACTGCCCGGAAGGTCTTTAGCCTCCGTAGTATCTTGCAGAAGACTCGGGGTGCAGAGAAGAGTCGTGTAGGCCGAGCTACCAAATCGAACTCGCGAAGCAGCAGTAGCGGTGCCGGCAAGACAGCTTTCAAGGGCAGGAAGTCTGGGAAGAACGCACGCAACCCAACGACTTCGCTTGGAGCTATATCAACGCCGATAGTTGTGCCTACTCCCTCATTGTTGCAGCAACTTGGAAGGAACCACATCGACCTTAGCCCAAGCCAAGACACTCCTGCATATCTTCAGCAGGCAGTGTCGACACCGTTCAAGCCCGCCACACCGGAACCGCCGAACCGCCATGCTCCGCCAACATCGTTTGCCACGCACAGTATGAATGCCATGGCTGGGCATCACGAAACCCTGACCATGCCTCCACTTCCTTTGTCTCGCCCTACAGAACCTCACAGACCAGAGAGCAACGCAACTAGTGATGCAGGGATGCAGACCGAACCATCCGCCAACGGTTCGGCCTGGACCTGCGCACACTTCGATGCACTTAGTGATTCCGTCTGCAGAAAAGTCCGAGAAGCGAACACAAGTGCACAAAGAGACCAGTACCTTGAGGTAAGTCTTTCAACTCTTTCTAGATCTTGTACAGATGACTGATGATGTAGATAGATGGCTCTTGAAGTTCAGAAGCTGCTCGTCGACTACCAGCGGCTGGGAGAGGTTGTTGAAGAGACTTCTAAGTTCCTCAACCAGAAGATGATAGAGAGGAAGTCGATCGAGACCAAGCTTCGAGCTATGATGGAGGAGTCATAGGTTAGATTTTGCCTTCTGCTAATCAGTGTGTGAGCCAATTGAGCATAAGTGAAGGATATTTCCAGTGATACTTACCAACAATATGTGGTTCTGTTCCTGTACTTGTCCCTCTTTTCCTTATTCTGTTTCGTTGTCGTCCCACACCTTGCTGAGGTGGGCAGAAAAGAAAGAAGATCATCAAAGGGAAAGAGGAAAGAATGGAACTATGTCAAAGATTTGACAACCCAACTGCTGTGGCCTTGGTATTCATTCGTAGCTTTCTCACGACCTCTTGAGAACCTGATCCTAGTTCTGGTTCGTGTCCTCTCTACTACTGTTCATTATCCGAGCTCAGATAATATGACAGAAGTGGTGTTTGAACGAACGGTGATTCCACTGAAAACACTAAGAACTAGGAATGTGAGCTGACGTACTTGGAGATGTCGATAAGGAACATACCTGACGCGATATGATGATCTTGTGCATGACCACTCAGCCTGACCGGCGCCTGCCGGCCAGGCTGAGGCGTAGTAGACGGAGATGTAGAAACAAAGGCAGTGTGCGATCTGAAGAAGAATTTCACAGGGGCGCGACCAACACAAGCGAGAAGTAGACGCCTCAGGCGCGATGTTCGCATGGTGAATGAGCAAGCGAATGAATGAGAGTGACTCGCCACACTCATCTGGTGCAGACAAGCTCTTTCTCTTTCGCTTCTTTCTCTACCGCAACAAAGCATCGCACTCTCCTTTGTTACATCGACACCCCGGCCAGGCTCCTTCCCTACGTACGCCCCCGAGTCTGACTTGACGCTGGTAGGGTCAAGTAAACTACTAGGTGAGTTTGTTCAGCTCCCTTAACAGTATCGGGTCGACTGTCTTGACCTCTACCATCTTTCGTTCCTTCCATTGTACTGCATCCTCACGATATACACGTCTGCTCACTATCACTTACATTATGATCTTTCCCGTGAGACTTGAGCTTGAGCCTGAGATTCGCAGAACAGCTTCAGTGCCCACTTATCCTTCTGTTGAGCGCCTTGATGATGAGTTACACATGCTTGAGATGCTGACTCTCTCTTGATACCAGGGTCTTATCGAAGCCATCATGGCAAATCACACCAATAGAAGACGAGGAAACCGCAGACAACAGGAGGAGCCCTGCCAGCCAAGTCTGTATTGTGATCCGTCGACTATGCGTCAGAGCACCTTTGGTCCTGAGCTTCCTGCCGTTGCTAGTGCACCTGTGCATGACACTTTCTGCCCTAATCTGCCTCAGGCAAACCATCTCGCCATGCGATTGGATCACCAGCAGAAGGAAGTGGAGAATTGGAACAAAATGCAAATGGAACAGTTCCGTTTTCCAGGCCCTCAGCCGGTGAGTATTCTCGAACTCGAATAATCATGTAGAGAAAGCTTCTAACAAGCGGTCTTTCAAGATGTATGAGGCACCTGGTCTAGCTCCTAATGGGCCTCCACTCAGCCCTGACTCTCGTGCTATGTCACCAATGTACACCATGCCGCCAATGCACTACGCACCCTACGCTTTGCCTGCAACTGGGCCCCTGATTGTGGGTTCAGTGCAGCCCAGAATCTCTGGAGAACGTGAAACATTCCAGGGCCTCAAAGCAGGGGCGAGCGGGAACACCAGAAACTGCTATCCCAGCTCTACTCTTCGTGGAGATGCACCTGAGTTCGTGCCGAAAGCGAAACGCCAAGTGAACGAGGCCCAGCGTTTGGTCCCAAATGCCAATACCGTGTTCATTGTCAGTAGCACCGGTCAACACATGATGCGAGGACGGTGAGGCTTTGGCGACCTTTTCCGGATAATACACTGAGTTGTTATTGTCTTTTGGAGATGCCGAGGGCTAGTCGCTTTGCTATTTGCACACTCACTTAGGTTTCACCTTTGAGACAGACTTCATAAACATTGGAGCAACATGGAAAGCTGGATCTCTGGATTGGGTCTCTCTCACCTGCTGTTTTTCTTGTGGTTCGTCTTCGGTAGAAGCTCAATCGGCTGGGTGCTCTCGCTTACGTGGGACTCTCATGGCTTCATTTCTGCTAGATAGATATCAGCTAATCGGAATGCTAATGAGAATATTACACCCGCTCTGGTTCTGGACCATGACCTTTGATATGACATAGGATTGACTGCATACCCTCCGGCTATATCTGCCACTTTGGGAATGACATTCTGCAATCCTTGCTGGTTTGACTTGATTTCCTAGAGAAGTAAACTTCTTGTCCAATGGTTACTTGAGTATTGTCGCTACTATTCAGCACATTTATCTTATCAGGCTGGAACTATAGCCCCAGTACCGGTTCTATCCCTGTAAACTACGTAGACAGACAGCGAATGATAGAGATCCCTATGACTGTCACACCGGCTGGCTCGTCACACCCCCGAAACAAGCTGAAGGTCTTTTATGCAAGCCATCTTGCATTGCCACTTCATTCTCCCATAAACTCAAGAGGTCAGCGAGCAAAGCTTGTCACTCAAATATACTTCCAATTATCCAGTTCCAAAACAGAAATACTATCTCAATCTCAACAATGATGCTCGAAGGAGTCGCATTCATCACCGGTGCCGCATCAGGTCTATAACTATCACCTATTCATCCCACTGCAATTTTTGAGCAAATCACATTAGACTAATACTCTACAACAGGTATCGGAAAAGCCACCGCCTATGCCCTCGCCCGACACGGCGTCCGCCAGCTCGCCATCGCTGATGTTCACTTCACCGCGACACAGGAAACCGCCCAGGACATCGAGGCCCGCTTCAGTGGAGTGAGAGCGCTCCCGCTGTACATTGACGTGACTGATCCGGTCTCTATTCATGAGGCTGTGTCAGAGACGGTGAAGCAGTTCGAGAGGATCGATTATGCGGTCAATAGTGCTGGGGTTGCTGGGTCGATGGCGTATTCGGGGGACCATGATATTAAGGATTGGGAGAAGACGTTGGGGGTCAATTTGCATGGGGTGTGGATGTCAAGTCGGGAGGAGATTAAGGTTATGATGGGGCAGGAGAAGAGGGGTGATAGGTTAGGGTTTTTCAATTTCTTTAAAAGATGATGATGAGGGGTTTCGGTGTGCTAATGCGTGTTGTGTGCTGTGTTGCTTGCACTACAGTCCCCGTTCATCACGGGGTGTCATTGTCAATGTGGCATCTGCATATGGTCTTGTCGCGACGCCGGTCAATATACCCCTTGTTTCTTATACTGCTGCGAAACATGGTGTGGTTGGGATGACCAAGGCTGATGCTATTATTTACGCGCCTCTGGGGATCAGGATCAATGCTATCTGTCCTGGTTATGTTCAGACACCGATGATCGATCAGATGCCTGATGAAGTGATGCAGAAGGAAGTGGCCAGAGTCCCCGTGGGGAGATTGGCGGATGCAGAGGAAATTGCGGACACTATTACGTTCATGTTGTCGCCGATGAGTAGCTATATGTATGGGTCTGCGTTAGTGGTGGATGGGTAGGTCGTTCTTTTTCTTGGAGGCTTTGCTGGATGGATTCATACTGACGATTATAGGGGATTTATTGCGCAGTAAGATGGGGATGGCTTGTGGGTGTTTGCTGTTGTGTATGTGTATGTTTAGCCTAGGAGGGAGAGTTGGCAGTGGCTCAGACCCTCGGCTTTTATTGCCATTCTGCTCGGCTATCGGGAATGCATGCATGATGTCCAATAGTGTTGATGATGATGATGCCAATGCACAGCTGACACTTCCGCGGGTTGCCTGAAAAATCCGAAAAGCTTTCCCCTTCGGGATGTTTGCTTTCCACGTCTGCTTCCTTTCGCTGATCATAGCGCAAATGCCTGTCAGGATGAGATTCATGAGAGTTTTCACTTTCACTCATCAGCTCGCCAACTCACAGCTGACAGATGACAGATGCTCTTAGGTGACTGGCTACGGCGATGCCGATTTTATGATGGTTTCCATGCTGGCCTGTTCTGCAGGTGGCTATGTGAAGAGAAGCACACCGGAAAATTCTCGGTTTTTGAACGAGTCATGCTAAGACAGCAAATTCAACTACCTTCCAATTTTCCGCATGGACCATAAACATGCCCGATTAAATCCCGTGTTCTGGAACTCGGATAGCGGCCCGATAGCTCGGTCTTGAACAGCCCCTTCGTGGATAGTTCTATCCACAGGTCTACACCGTACGGCTTCTGCGAGGGGCCAGTTCATCATCGGCGACGATCATTGCAATAACTCAGTGGGTCTGAGCAGCAGTTTTGGTCCAGGATGGCCAATCACTCGACGCCCAAGCCCCACAGAAATAAGATCGCCCAATGAGACCGGTGCATTCCTCTTTGTATGGAGTAGTCCAGATCAGCTTCATCGAAGGTTTTCCCTCAGCCCGCCAGCTATGTGAGCTTATTGAGTCATGAAAGCAACAATTGCAGGCGTTCCAATTTGTCGGAACTTTTCGCCAGCATATGATGAAAAAGCCACGGACCCATTCACGAACACGAAGTGGGAAACAAGGCATTGCAATTAGTCCTCGAAAGCAGCAAACTATTTTGCTTCTTCCATGCCCCTTTCGATGAAATGGAACATATAAGGCCGGGTAAGCCACTTGGCTCACCTTTTGGTGTTGGCTTGTCTGGCTGCGGCTGCCACTATAACTGCCTCCATTACTTGGAATGTATTCTTTCGAATTCGGACTGGCCTTATTGGCATCAGTCTTCTCTCTGCTCTCGTGGGCCAATGGCAGCAATCTCCACGTGCGTGCCACCGGTAACACGGTGCGCTTTAATGTCACCTTGACATGGGAGGACTGGGCGCCGGCAGGCATCCCTCGCAAGATGATCCTCATGAACGGCCAATTTCCCGGACCGGCACTGCAGTTGCGGCAAGGGGATGATGTCGAGTTCCTGGTTACCAATCATCTTCCTACGAATACCACAGTGCACTTTCATGGTAGGTTTTGCTTTAATTATGGGCAATAACCGAGACTGACCCCTTCAAGGTATCGAGCAGCTTGACACTCCTTGGTCCGATGGCGTCCCCGGTTTATCGCAAAGACCTATCGCGCCGGGCGACAATTTCCTCTATAAATGGCGAGCGACGAACTATGGAAGTTATTTCTACCATGCCCACACCAGAGGCCAAATTTGCGACGGTCTATATGGCGCGATTTACATTCTCCCGGATGAATCAGTGGAGAAACCATTTCATCTAATCACGAACAACACAAGCGAGCTCCAAGCCATGCAAGCAGCTGAGCGGAGGACTAAACCTATAATGCTGTCCGACTGGCGATTCTTGACTTCGGAAGAACTGTGGAGTGCGGAGGAAGCGACGGGACTAGACGCCATATGTATCAATGCGGTCCTTATCAACGGCAAAGGATCGATCAATTGTCCGGGCCAGCAAGCTTTCAATGAGCTGGCCAGCGCTGAACAGAAGCAACTCATTGGTAACCTAAGCCTAACCGACACGGGGTATGTGTAACACACCTGATGTGTAACCGGTATCTAACAGGTTTATCTAGATGCATTCCACCAACGCTAGTGTCCGCTCAAGGCACATATTCTCACAACTACAGCGCTATGCCGCCTTCTATGTTTTATGGCTGCCGTCCTGGCAATGGTGGTACCGAGCGTCTTCTGGTAGACCCGTCTGTCAGATATGCCAGTTATGACTTGATCAGCGCGGCTGGGGTCTCGATGTTGACGTTTTCCATTGATGAGCACCCGATGTACGTCTATGCTATCGACGGACGGTACATCGAACCTACGTTGGTGGATGCAGTTACTATAGCCAACGGAAACCGCTACTCCGTTCTTGTCAAACTGGACAAGCCTGCCGGTAACTATACTGTTCGCGCGGCGAATTCAGGTATCAATCAAGTCATCAACGCGACTGCGGTCCTCACATACAACACAGCAATCAAGTCCCAGAAGGGCTCTTCGGTGCCTTCAATCGATATCCACGGATCGCCTGTGTCTTCCAACTACACCCTGTTGAACGAGACTACGATCATGCCATTCCCTGCAGAGACACCATCTTCAGAGGTCGCCGCGACCCATATCCTCAGAATCGGCCACTACAATGCTTCCTACCGGTGGACTGAGGGCAACTCTAGTTTCCCACTTTCTCTGGAAGCCGCATCGCCTTTGCTCTTTTATCCATCTACCGCTAAGCCTGATCTCACGGTCAAGACGCTAAATGGAACCTGGGTCGACTTGATCTTCCATGTGAACGGTCAGATCCAGCCTCCTCACCCGATTCACAAGCATAGCAACAAATTCTATGTGATCGGTCAAGGCAACGGCGCGTGGAATTACTCATCTGTGGCTGAAGCGATGCAATATATCCCGGAGAATTTCAACCTTAAGACTCCTCAGATTCGGGATACCTTCATCACTCCGGCTGCGGCGACCGAAGACACGTGGCTGGCGATCAGGTACCATGTTGTAAATCCCGGTGCATGGCTGCTCCATTGCCATATTCAGGTGCATCTGAGTGGTGGCATGGCGTTGGCGTTGTTGGATGGTGTGGACGAGTGGCCTGTGGTTCCAAAAGAGTACCAGCTCTCAGATTCCTGATGGTCGGAGATCACCTATCACTAGTAGTAGTGATGTGAAAAACCTATACTGTATATACACCACATGTTTGTTTATATGATGACTGCATGCTTAACATATTCCCAAGAGGCCTAGTCAATTTAGTACCATTTTAGCTGAAAGATAAGCACCGTCTGAGTGACGTAGGAGTAAGCCACAGGTTTCAATAGAAGGATGATTTGAGATCTGCGTAAAGCATGAGATAGTAAGCCCATCCAATGACGATGATTCCAAAGGAGTTAAAGTCAAATGCTAAGCAACGCGACCATCGCAAGGGATGCTTGATCGGGTTAGGGGTGAGATGCACGTGGACGCGGGGATCGCTGCGCCTCAGGCACCTCGGCCAGCAGCGACCAGCCTCAAACGTTCTCCGAAAGTCCTCACTTCATTCATATTCCGCGCTCCTCGTCGGAAAATCCCAGACATGAAGATCATCAGATAGTTTTGTATTTGCCGTGAC